GAGACCCGGCTGCTGCGCTGGGACCTGACCTTCTCCCCGCCCCAGAAGTCCTCGCCCGTGGCCCGGGAGTCCGACGAGGAGAACGGGGACGAGCTCAAGTCCAGCACGGTGAGTGGCTGCCCGTGGGGAGTGAGAGCCCAGGTTCGTCCCCCATCCGGCGACTTCCATGGAGTCCGCTCTAGCTGAGTGGGTGGGGTGGGGGTCAGGAGCGGCCCCAGGCTGATGGCCTTGGCTTCCAAGGACTGGGGCCTCCCTCCCAGGAAGCCAGTGCAGGGCTGGGGGGCATTTCCGTCAGACGGAGACTCAGGAGGTTCGTCACAGGCTTGATCCGTTTAGTGAAACACTTGGGCAGGTTTGGAAGCTCCCAAAAGGAAGATGGCAGCATGGGACCCAGCCTCGCCCAGACCTGCCCCAAGTTCCTCCAACTCCCTGTGCTGGAGTCTCCTGTGAGCCCCCACCACTGCCCACGAGTCCCCGTCCAGGAGAGACAGAGGGACAGACGCAGAGCAGGGGAATCAGGCTGGGTCAGGTCCTTTGTCCAGGCCACACCGCTTACCTGCGGGCCAGGCACGGTGGTCCCATCTGCCAGGACACACGTGTCCTGCTCCAAGGCCTACTTTCTAATGGGTGAGACGGACAGTTCTGTGAGGCTGTCCACCCCTCGGCCCTTCCTGTGAAGCCGCGGTTCTCTGAGTATGGCACTGCAGGGCACTCCGGGAGTTCGTTAGAATGAGGCTCTGACCCACCCAGGCCTGTGGGATCCGTGGCTCCGGATGGGGCTGTAATCCAGGTTGATCAGGCCCCGGGGGGCCACCGGGGCTGCTCAGGAGTGAGGACCGTGTCTCAGGTGTGAAACTCACCTAGAAGCACCACTCCCAAGGCGGCTGGATTGGAGGGAAGGACAGACACCCCTGGGCAGGACCTGTCAGGGGCTGGGGAGAGCTCTTGCACCCAGAGGTACCTTCTGGGACCCTTTGTCAGGTGGCTTCCGCCTAGAAGCAACATGCCTTGGTCCCTTGGCCCAGTGGCAGCAGAAAGGGCCACTGGAACGCACTTCAGACCTACACCCCCGGCTGATGCCTGTGTGGTCCCACACGATCCCCCCTGGACCAGTGTCAGCCTACAGGGCCTCCCACACGTGCTGATGGGCGCCGCGTGCCACAGTCCCACTTGTCCCAGAGGAACACCGGGGGCCTGCCTCACGGGCATGCAGAGCCCGACTGAGTAACCAGCCTGTGTGCTGCCCGCCATCCAGACTGGCCCCTGGGACTTGGTGCCGCTGCAGGGCAGGGTCGGTGTCTGCCCGTCCCTCATCTGATGTTGTTCCCTTGGGAGAGAAGCTGCCTATCAGAAGACAGCCTGCTGGCCCTCGAGGCCATTTCTGCTTCCCCTTGAAACATGTGAGCATGTCTTCTTGCTGGTGGGCTGGTTCCTATTCTGCCTTCCCCGCCCAAACCCCTCTCAACCCCTGTGGAGAGCAGCCCCCGGGGCCTCAGTGCCAGCTGCCACAACTCCGCTTCCCTCATTCTGGCAGCTGGGAATGTGTGTGCATGTGCAACCACACGTATGTGGTGTGTGCGCACCTGATGTGTGCCGCCCATGTGCACCTGTGTGCGGATGTGGTTATTTTAGGACAGCCGGATGATGGGCAGGGTGGAGACGCAGGAAGGGTTCCGTAGTTTCCCACTTAACTCTGCTGGCGAGTCTGGGAGCTTTAAAATGGAGCTCCCTTGGGAAGAGGTGCAGGCTTCCAGCTGGGCTCTGGTACTTACTCTGCCAGACCAATGCCTGGTCCTGAGGGGCGGCTGGGGACCCCAGGACAGGGGAGTGGAGGGGCGTTCCAGCAGAGGCCTCTCCAGGGGGCAGGCCCTGCACCCATCACTGAGGCTTCAAGATGACAAGCCCAAGCGACTGTGGGCTCCGCCCTGAGGCACTGGGTGCTGAGCACCCAGGAAAGGCTGGAGAAGACAAGTGCTCCTTCCCCCTGGCGAGAGAGGCGGGCCGCCCAGGGACAGCGGTTAGCACAGAGCTGGAGCCGCTAACGGGAAGGTGGTTTCCATTGAGGAAGATGTGTTCAGAGGCCTGTTAGAGGTTCTCCCATTGACGGTTTGGGGGTCCCAGGCTGAATTTAGGGGCCACTCTGGGTGGGCTGCATCTGAAATCCAGTGGCAGTGTCTGAAGTCCCAGCTGTACAGAGCTGGGTGTGGGGTGTTTATGTGAGGAGAGACCTGGGGCACCAGGAGGGAGGGCAGCCGCCAGAGTGCTCAGAGTTCCCGGGGCAGTGACTGCAGACCTCGAGTCCAGTGGCGGCCTCTTCCTCAGGTCTGACTTCTGCAGGGCTTCATGCTCTGAAGAGCTGGACGTTTGGTTCCAACCTCCTGTTTTGGTCTGGGGCTGGGGGGTGGGTATGGCCAGAGAGAGAACAATCCAGACCAGGCTCAACCCTTTCTCTCTCCTTCTGTTCCAGGGCTCAGCTCCCATCCTGGTAGCCATGGTGATCTTGCTAAACATCGGAGTCGCCATTTTGTTTATTAACTTTTTCATCTGATGAAATTGTCACATTAGCAAAAATACCAGTTGGTGTACAAAAGGGGGACGTTAAAAGCAAAACAACAAAAAGGAAAGGATCATAACTCGGACAGCCCACAGCTACTTCCGAGTTTCTTCACAGAACAACACGATTGGGTATTACTCACAGTTTGCCTTTTTTTCTGGGTAATGTTTTTTGGATTTTAGCCAAAATTCTTTGCTTGTATAACACTATGCTGTGTGGCATGGCAGAAGGAGGCCAGCACGCCGATCCTCCAGCTTGAAGTGGAAAGAAAAGGGATCCCAGCAAATCAGTGGCAAAAACAATAAAATCGTCACCATCGTCATCACACTCCCTTCAGGGACGTGGGAAAGGAGGCAGCTGAGGAGGACCCCTGAGTGTCCAGCTGTGGCCGGGGGGAGCAGCGGCCGGGAGGTGTGACGCGGGGAGTCAGCTCACTCTGCTTCTCCTCCCTGTCCTGGAATCGGGGAGTCAGTGTGGGCGAGGCGCGGGGAAGAGGGTGTCCCATCCTGGCTGGCAGCAGCCTGGGCTTTTTCTGTTTTAAATCTGTGCTGCAGAGTTAAGGAAGCAGAGGTCTGTCCTCTCTTCTCTTCCCAAAAAAACAGACCCCTGGTCTCGGCACTGCCCCACGGCTTTCCTTGCAAGGCCAGGTCCCACCCGAGTCTCACAGCGACGTCCTCATTTCCCTGCTGTCCCTCTCTCTTCCCCATCCTCCCACCAGACCCAGGGCAGCCAGGCTGCAGATGTCCGGAGCCTGCAGAGGCGCGGGGCTGGTGCCAGAGGGCAGGGAGCAGTGCGGCCCCTGGGCCATCACGCCTGGGCTGCAGCACGGCCTTCCAGTACTTACTGTGCAGGACAGGTATCCAGGCTCCCACGTCCCTGTCAGACGTCCGCAGCCCTTTCATGACACCATCTTCTCCCACGTCACTGAGCCCACGAGTTTCATTTTGTCCTGTGCCTGCAACTTCCCCCACAGACATGCCTCTTCTTCCCAGATGCCTCATTAATTCTCCAGAGCTGGTCTAGTCCCAGGACAGAATGTGGTTGAAATCAAGTGGCTTAAAAATTCCTGAGAAATCGTTGCATATCCATCTCCCCCCATATATGTAACACAACTTTCAGTCACACACCAACAGATTCCTGGTGTTTCTGCTTTCTCCACCAGTGTTGCTCTGTCATCCAAACAAAAGAACAAGGCTCCAGAATGTTTGAGTGCTCTATGGTCCTAGCTCGAGCCAGCCCGGCCAGCGGTATGGACGTGTCTGTGGGGCCACGGGCACGTCCATACCCAGGTCCCCTGTGCTCACACCTGGGAAGGTCCTTAAGGTGAGCCCCACAGTCGTCCTGGGTACAGCCCGCCTATGACTCTGCCTTGCTTTGCTTATGTTTAGCTGTTTCTCTGCTACCTTTCAAGCAGATTTCTTTACTACACTGCACTGGATTGCTATATTTTTAACCAGAAATAAACTAAAGATTAGAGCATGTTCCAGTTAAATTCAGTTTTATTTTTTTTCTGTTATACATTCAATCCCCGTTCCTTCTCACATTTTGGTTTAGGTTGGGGTCTTTTTTGGGGAGTGGAGACATGGGAAAGGGAGGGAGGATCCGTAGGAAATACATTTCTGATAATGTTGCTTTCTAAAGGGATATCACATCTTTTTGTACATCTTTTTTCCGTTCCTCTTTTTTAATATCAAGTGGTTGCTGCAGACCTGAAGTGAACCAAATAAAGATGCCTGCTCCTTGCAGCCCTAAGAATCATCATGCTGGGATATGTGGTTTATAATTCTTTGCAACTCTCTGTCAAGATTACAGACTTTTTTTGTACATTCCAATAACTGCATGACAAAAATGGTACCTACAAATGCAGGTTTATATATTTACATGCAAACACCATGAGATTGTTAGATGCATAAAAGCAGCAGCACAGAAGCACACCTCATTCAACAGAAGCAGTAGTGGTTTCATGACTAGATGTCTCCATCACTAGTCCAGCTGCCAATCACACACTTGTGAAAACCAAATCAACACCCCCCCCCCCCCCCCCCCCCGCACTCCGTACCTACAGAGGGCAGAGCCATTTCCCTGCACTCCTGGTGAATTCCAAGTAGATTCCACCAAGACCAAAACATGGTCGGAGAGACCAGAAAGCTCTTTAATTGTTCCAGTGTGATTAAAGACCAGGCTGCCTCGCAGCATCCCTGCAGATTGGCCGAATGCTTTCGCTCAGCCCAGCTTGCTTTTCCTACCTGCCCAGAGCCTCAGGTTTGTCCGATGGGTGCACCAGTCACCTAACTCCAGGCCAAGTCCGCTGACCTGCTTCTCTCATGCACGTTCCTCGTGGATGTGTGTGTGCTGAATTCAACAAGGACACGTGGGACTGGGGAAAATAGACGTGTGTCATGGCTGCCCCCACTGGTGCAGAGCACTGACAAGTTTTAATTAATTCCAGAGCAACCTTGTGAGAGTCAGTTCTCCCGACATGCTCTGGATGTGGAAACCTGGGGCAGAGAAATTGAGATACCTGAGATACTAGGCTGGGCCATGGGAGAAGGGGTCGCCACCCCATGCCCACCTCTCCTCACCCACCCCAGGCTGGAGCCTGCACTCGCACCTCACCCTAATGAGCTGGAACGGACGTTACCCTGTAAAGTCACCAGGTAACAGGTCTGTGCTGATGGTTCACTGGTTCCACTTACCACAAAGTAAGGAGCCTCGTGTACCGGATTTACTTGTGCTTTTAAGTCTGCTTCGTGTCTGCACAATGCCTGGGTGATTTCAGGCCCCTGAAAAGTCCTATTCGTCCATCCTTTTGATTCTTAGGTTTGTAATCATTAGCACACAGATTCCCAAAGACAGAGATGAGGTATGCAGTACATAAGCCAAAATAACTGACAAGGAAGACGATGCTAATATAGAAAAAAAATCAGTGCATCCACAAAAATGCAAAGCCCGTTGCCTAAATCATTCGAGGGAGGAGAGTCATGAAAATGCAAGGAATGACTCACTTTCCTAGGAAGTCCATGACATCTAACGACCAATACACTCCGGTCTTGTTGAGACGCCATGGTGTGTGGTGTGAATAAACACACTCGTGGTAGGATGACAGGCTCTTTCCGACATGCACTAAGCCCAAGATAAGAGAGTCTCACCAGTGCACGGACTCCCCTGTCTGGCACCCGGGCACACAGATGGAGCAGCCCCATGTCCTGGCTAACACCAGCCTGGTCATCAAGGTGCTCCCATTCCCTTTCAGTAAGTTATGCGGCCACCCCCCTGACAACCAAAGGGCATTACTGAGAACTGGGGAGGTGTTCAGATCCCACAAGACACAGGACTTGTTAAAGATGAATACTTGGGGGCGTGAATCAAATGGTCCCATTTTTTGCGATTTTTGTTGGTTTGGGTTTCTGATTATTCTTTAAAGACACCCAATCACCACCAGTATTCTCTCTCTGGGCAGGGTTTTCCTGTCAGGCAGTTCTCACCTGTACCCAAGAGGGGGGGCCTAAGAGGCCCAGGGGGTGCTCCCAGAGACGCCCCAGTGGCCTCCTCCAGGGGCACTTGCTTATTTCACCTTCACGTGCACAATAAGACACTTTTCAACACGAGGGTGGAAGATGCAACCCTTTTCTACAGGAAGCTCGGTTTCTTTACCTTTTATAGGTCTTGTCTTCCATTTTTTTTTCTTGCCTTTGGTCTCAGAAAGTTGCCATAAAGGTGCCTACTAGGTTTTAAGACATCGACTTCCACAGCTGAATGTACTGCCTGACCCTCACAATCAACTGACAGTACTGAGTATCGCTGACAAACACCTCAGTGTCATGATACTGAGGAAACCTTGCCTCGGACAAGCATTGGCTCCTAGTCAGGTCAGCATAAAAGTGAAGTGACAGGATCAAGAGAAAGAAGGAATGAGGGGAAGCTGTCTGTAAACATAAGGTGTCTGGCTAGTTTTGTTCTCTGGCCAGGGCTGGCCACGTCAGGCAAGACCATCAGTAAGCAACGCTAGAAAAATGACCTGCCCCAAGTGTCCAGAAGTGTCCCTAACTCAGCCTTAAAAGAAGAAAAAGTGCAGTTGCCTTTGTTTAAAAATAAAAAACAAAGCTGTATTTTTACAGTGTCTCCATGTGCCTGGACAATGTGAACTACAGACTATATGGAATGTCTGAAAACTGTGGAAGCACAAGGGTCGCAGTCCCCGAAACACGTAGGGGCGCGGGCTCAGGAAGGCACGGAGGAGGTGCTGGCACGGAGTGAGAAGTGCAGAGGGAAACATGGCGGGGGCGGTGCCAGAACGGGACCACCCCTGAGGGAGATGGAAGCAATGCTTTGGAAGATGGCTCAATGCTTTTGGGGTTTGCTTCCACATGAAATCCCACCATGGAAGTGCCTGAGACAAATATGCAAACGTGCTCCTAAACCTCAGAGAAGCAGGCAGCCACCATGGGCAGAGCAAGGTGTGGATGTGAGCTTGCCACAGGAAGCCGGGTGCAGTGAGCCTGGGTCCAGGGTTTTGAGGGATGGCGAGCAGGGCCAGGGAGCGCGGCAGACCTCACACACCTACCTCACTGGGCTGCCCCACCACACCTGCTGCCCGAGATACACACAGCTCTCTGTGCGCCGGCGCCACAGGGTCAGGCCCCAGGCTGCCCAGGCCTGTCACCACATCCATGCACACCCTCTCCTGCTGCCCTTCCCATCGTGTCTGTGCCACAGGATGCAGGGCGCCAGCTGTGCTGCCACTGCTTGGTGATGTGGTGACAGCGGCAACCCAAACCCATGAAGGCAGAAGGCCCCAAGGAAAGGTGGAGACGGCTCTTGGCTGGACCCCTGGGCCCTCGGTAATTCATCCACACCTGCTAGGTCAGGCAGGAGCCAGGGCTACTTCCTTAGAGGTCAGCACTTGACACACCCAATGCAGGCGTGATAAGTTTAGTCCCTTAACATTAGAGCACTCATATTGCAAGAGCACTTACACAGCCCACGAATTTCTCTTTCTCTCTAAATGTGATCAGTTCCAACAGGGCAGACATACTATGCACCCACCGACCTTCCATGAATGACGCCTACACCACACTGTGTGAGCCTGGGAAGGCCGGTCAGGAGGAATGCTGCCCCACGTGGGCCTCCCAAACATCGGCACAGGCCAGGTAGACGGCGGGAGGCTCAGGAGGAAGGAATCCGCGCTGAGGGCCAGCACTGCGCATGCGCCCTCCAGGCTACTCTGGCACCCATGGCCCTGGGACCGGGCTCTCCCACTGGGCCTCTGAGTGAGCCCGTCCTTTAGCGTGGTCACCGACCCCAGAGCAGCAGGGCCTGCACTCTCACTGTCTGAGTGGCCCTCACGCACACTCAGTGGCTTATACAGGAGTGAGCGTGCCCCTGACCACTGATCTGCCAATGCCTCCAAACACTGGGCTAACCCTGACAACACTTCCAGCTGGACCCTGCTTATCTGCACCATCACCATTTCTAGCCTGACTAAAACCCACACGCCCACACCGTTCAGGTGAGCAGTGCGTGAAGCTCATCCTCACGCTAGACATGAAACCACTAACCCTGATGTGGTTGCCTTTTTGTGAATGAACTCTAACATAAATCTGTCTCAATCTGCGTTTTCTTTTTTCCACCCTTTTCCCATGGTGCATGTGAACTGTTTGCTAATACTGTGCAATCATTTTGTGCATTGACAAAAGGGAATGTTGACTATGTTCTGATTTTTCCTATTAATGAAGCAGCTAAAAACATTACCTCAGCCTTTTTCTTTTAGTTGGAAAAATAGCTTGGTTATTTACAAAATGAAAATAAAATAATTTTCTTTAATGAATGTTTAAATCAGACCATTACTATATATTTCACTAACTGAAAGCAAGGGACAGTGTTGAGATTAAAGAAAAATTTTGCTCCTTTTAGTAATAAATATTATCATTTGAAATTTGGAAAACCTGCATCCTTGTATAAGAAGTGTCTTTAATGCAAGTTCCTTCTAGTGACAAAATTATAAGCTGGATAATTGCAACTTAAAGAACTGAGCCTCCGTTAACCAACAGCGTCCCTCTGTCACATTTGGAGGATCTTATTACTTTGAGTAGGAAAGCTCTGTGAATACGAATCTGAAATGTGCCCCCCACCTTCTCTCACCAGCTTTTCCTATGTGTTTAGGCTAATAACCCTGTTCACCGTCTCAGGTTCCTCACCATAAAATGAGTGCCTGAGGCCTCCTACCCCATTCAGGCCTCACCCCCGCCCCCCCTCCGCCCCCCGCCAGCTAATGGCCCAAGGATCTCACAGTATATTTTTTCCAAACCTGTTTTAATTTTCTTAAACTTCAACATCTGTGCTTCTCATGGGGTGGCTGTACTGAGTGTCTTTCTTCCCCATGAGTTTCTCTGCCTCGGAATCCTGCTGACACACTGCGGTCTCTCCAGCCCTGCTCCCCGGGTGAGATCCCTTGCCCACACGGAGTCCCACGCCACACACAGCTCAACACGCCCGTCCTCAGCCTGACACGACAGCTTCCAGGGTGGCTTCTCACCTGGTCCCAGCACCTGTGGCCACCAACTGTTTTGGGCAGTGCCTTGGCTTCCGGCTGGACACCATGGTCAGACCCCAAGGTCAGATCCTGGACAGCCTGGACTCAAAAGGCACTGCAAAACAGAAAAAAAGGATGACTGTGGTCTGTACTTGAGATAAGATGAGACTGATCTCTGGTGATCAACCACCTACGCACAGCTTGCTTCCCGATTTAACACCTGGGAAAGCAGAAGTTATTAGAAAGCCTATTCCATACATGGAACTCAGCAATGAACACAAGATGGATTTCAGACTCACTGGAGCTAGAGCTGATCCCTTTTCCTTTATGTCAGGGAACAAGTGTCCCCTCCCTGCCATCCTCTGATATAATCTACACTTGTGTCACCTTCTCATTGCAACACATCTCACATGGGCAGCCTCTTGAAGAGGTTAACCTTCACCAGCAGACCCACCCAATATCTGGTCCCTCAATGTACTTATATTGTCACCTAGCCACTGGCTTTCTGCTTGTACCAAATTGGTATTAAAAAAAATCACATGTCCAATTGCAATAAACATCACTGTCAACAGCTTTTAAAAACCAACACCTCAACCCCTGCGAATTCCTCTTACTTCAGCCTGACCCAGACAGGGCTCAGGTGCTCCTGGGAAGTAGGGAGAACAGAGAACTCGTCACACTCGAAACCCCACGGAGCTCTTCCAGAAGCTCCGGCACGGTGTCCACAGGGCTGATGTGGCAGGGTGATGGGCACCAGTAAGAAAAAGGGTGGGAAACCACCAGGGGGTGGGTATTAAGGGCTTCCCAACAACAATCAGCCAACCGAGGGCCTTGCCCACCTGGACATGGCCGCCTCCTGCGGTTCCGGCTCCAGCAAGGCAGGGGCTGCATGCTGGCCACTCGTGGCCAACGTGGCCATCGGGGTGTCAAGAGCATTCAGTTAGGCAACCCAGTCACTGACAAACAGGACAGGAGGCGTGGCCGCTGCGCCTGGGGCACCCGAGGTCCTGTGTCGATTCCCCCTCCCCGCTGCTGCAGACCGAAGGCACCGTTCCTGGTGTTTTAATCACAGCAATTAAACAGCAGAGACAGCAACTCTCCTGGAAGCGTTTCTTTAATCCTCCTGGGTTCTGATCAACCTCTTTACTCAAACTGCATCTTTAGCAGCAGCCCCATGGACATGACAGCAAAACGGGTACTTGTTTGTACAGAGGCTTCTCTGGAGGGTACTTTTCTTTCAACTTGGCTGGTTAAAAATTACCTTCTTTCCAGTCTTTTAGCTATAGGCTCCTCTAAGAAAAGTGGCCTCTGATAATAGACAACTGTGTTGAAGCCGATAAGATCTCCCAATTATTTCCTGCCTTAGCAGCGGCACGATCCAGCCTGGTGTGCTCCTGTCACACGGTCAGACAGCAAGGCCGAGGGACCTGCGTGCAGTTCCTGGGGGCCAGCTGCGGCGCTCACCTGGCTTTTCAGCCGTCCTAGGAGCTTCCAGCTGGACTCTACACAGAATGTTAATACAGGACTCAAACTGCCCCAGGACCCAAGGGAAGCGCCACAAATACCAGCGAAACGCAGAATCCCTGACCCTTCCTCCCATGCC